AAAAATAATGTTTTAAAAATTATATATTATTTTATTTTTTTAATTTTATTTTATATTTTTATTTATTTATTATTCTGTTTGAGATTTGTTGTGGGGGTTTGTTTTTGTTTTAAAAATTTTTTTTTTTGTTGTGGGGGGGGGGGGGGGGGGGGGAGGGCAGAAAAACTGGAACTTACCCCTGCCGATATCCGGATTACGATATCCCTGAAATGCCACTTATTGAATTAAAACGATATAACTAACCATAATATTCCTATTTTTCAGCTAGTTTCTCGGTACCCAGTTGATGATTCAGTAAGAGAAGTCCTTGATAAAGTCGATTTTGTCATTTTGCCGGTGTTAAACGTAGATGGATATGTTTACACTTGGGAAAAGGTAGGACAAATTTAGGGACTCTACATGGGGGTGGGGGACTCCAGGTAGGTGAATTTGACTGATAAAAAAGATACGTAAGAGTTGTGAGTAAACGAAGCATACGCTTTAAACTATCAAGAACTGAAGCCAGATTGGTGGAAGATAACACTAGCTTTAGCATCATTATTCCAAAGTGACAAAAGTGGGAAAAGGGGACACCATTTTAACAAAGCATTAGACTTCTCTCTCTTTATTTCTTTTTAGACTTCTCTACGACTAGTCAGCTGAGCTTAGAACGTTACTTTATCGAGTGCTCTATCTAAAAGACTATATATACTAGTTAATACTCCGACGCATTATTAATATACGGTATCTAATATAATTTATTGGTTCAAAGGATCGCATGTGGCGTAAAAACAGAAGTAGACAACATGGCTCGAAATGTGTTGGTGTGGACCTTAACCGGAATTGGGGTTTTCATTGGGGAGGTGGGTCAGTTTTCTTCTTACACAAAAGAGGTTACTGTCACTGAGGCAATCAGTAAAGTTTCTCAAACTTTCGTTTTGAGAAAAAATTTGCCGTTATGGCAGTGTTTTTGACGAGTCTGAAAATTAGAGAAATGTACCAAGAATGTGACGATATTATATTGTTTGCTACCAAGCTGTGTCCTAATGCTATTCTCGTTAACTTCAACCTTAGAATGAAATAACATAGAAAAAAGAAAGGTTAGTGTCATTCGATAAGTAGGGGATCAAGATGATATCCTCTTTTGACTGAAGCACATCTGGCATTCAACGACTATACTTAGATTAATAAGGACCAACAACACAATAATTCCCAGTTTAGGTTGCAGCCCTGGAGACCGGCACAAAAACAAAAAAAACAACAGTAAAATTTGTTGTCCAACGCTTGTTTTTCAACCGTGTTTCTTTGAATTTTTCATTAAGTGAGAGGAGCAAGCAGTGATCCTTGCAGCGAGGCTTTCCACGGTGAAGAGCCTTTGTCAGAAAAGGAGGTTCAGAGTGTTGCTAGGTTCCTCGAGTCTCAAAAGAAAAGGCTGGTTGGCTACCTGGATATTCATTCGTATGGTCAGATGTTGTTGTTTCCATGGGGATTTACAAAGGAGCAAACTAAAGATCATATCGAAATGGTAAGGAATATAAAAACAGTGGCCGATCCAGGGGAGGGGTCCAAGGGGTTTGGCCACTCCTTATTTACTAAACTGAGGCTCGAAGGGCCGAGAAAAATTTCTTTGAGACCGCCCCCCGCCCCCCTTATCTGAAGCTCTGGATGCGCCACTTGAAAAATATTGAATATGAACAAAATGCAGTAACAGATGGGAATCGAAGTTTTCCTTCCTCATCCCTTTCAATCTTCTTGACTATTAAGTCATTTTTATGTGTGTTATAAAATTTTTTGCTATGTGACAATCTGAAACCATATTATGGTTCTTTAATGATTGAAAGACTTACCATAATCTTAGTTTATATTTTGCAGTGATTCATACTAATTCATACACTAAACAACGATATAGTTTAAACGACGACACCAACAACAAATAGCTATACCAATGAGAGCATGAGAAGAAAACAGCCGACATTTTCGCAAACCACTAGCCATACACCGGAGCGTAGCGAAATGACGATTATTTTCTTTGGCTACAACAACAAACTCCACCTTTGATTCGAGTTTGAACCGCCCTACATCTCCATTGGCCTAGGAGTGATTAATTTAGTGTTTAACGTCCAAAGCATTAACACTTTAATGCTACAGTTATATCAAATGATTTGGCAAGCAGTGTTGCAAGGCACTCATCTACAAAAGAATGAATAATAGTCCCTTTATTATTTTTATTGCAGGAGAGGGTTGCTATAGCAATGGCCAACGCAATCAAATCTCGTGGTGGCTATAATACTAGTTACATATTTGGACAAGCGTCTCATATCTTATGTATGTAACAAAACAGCTATTTTCTTGCATTGAGGAACTCATCATTCTTGATCAGTTGTTGAACTTTATTTCCCTTCTTCTCTCCGAGAGGAAAACCGTAGCTATAGATTAAAATCTATCCAGGCAAAAATCAAAAATGTTGTCTGCGAATAGACACACATCTCATATCGTTCCTCCACACCTCACTTTTTTTTTGTACGTGTCTAGTAAATACTTTCTTTTATTTCTTTTTAACAGATACGGAATCAGGGACAACAAAAGACTATATTTATGGGCATTTGAATGTTAAGTACACATTTTCAATGGAGCTGAGAGACACCGGGAAATACGGTTTCCTTCTTCCGCCTAGACTAATAGAACCTACCGCAAAGGAGGCATTTGAAGGAATCAAGGCAATGGTCGAAAATATCAAATTTGATAAATAGTCTGTCTTCAGTTTGATTAGATAACTGTAACACGTTAATCAAATTAACGGAATGCTGAAATAAAACATGCTCTCCAGTGACCGAAGTACCAAGCGACTTTATTGTCATTTATTACTTACTCAACCTGATCTTTTCTGGACTATGCCAGAGGGGACTCGCATACTAAGTTTATAATAATTAAATGAAGACTAATAACTTTATCGATGCTTAGAATTTGTTTTTTGTGGCTGCCATTTTGAATTTTGCGGTCAACTGGTGTAAAGTCTGGGGCCCGTTTCTCGAAAGGCCCAGAAACTTTTCGGGCACGAAGGGAAATTTTAAATTCCAAACCTGTTGAATAGCAGCACAGTACAGTTCTTAGCCCATAAACCAGTCAATTTTGCTTCGTTAACTGATATTTCATTTTATCATGTTCAAAATTATTGACGGAACTCTGATCTTGAATGTAAACGCCGAAAACACAAAGCAGCTTTCCGCGCCCGAGAAGTTACCCGGACTTTCGAGAAACAGGCCCCTTGAGCCCAGATATATTGGGTGGTCTAGGATAGTTGGAAAACTCTCGGAAGATATAATCGTTGGCCGAGTTAAATATGAAGAGACATGAGCGGCTCCGAACATACCTCAGTTCGACCTCAGTTCAAGGCTTCACACCAGCTGCTGACCGCAAATTTCAAAGTGGCCCCCAAAGGTGAATATTTAATTTGTAATCTGATTGGATGAGAAACTGCACTTCGACTACCCTGGGTACCAGAGATTTTTTCTCGCGTGTGACGAGGAAATTATCGCAATGAAATGAATAAACCCAGAAGACGTTTGTAAACTTCCTAAAAGTATATAATAAAAACGAACAAACGAAACAACGCCTAAGCGACAACATATACATAAACATCTGAAAGGCACGCCTTTGACTAAGTCCCGCACAAAGCGCGCGAACTTAAAACCCCTGTCATATATTGAGCATGAAATGACTTTATCAAAGACTGTGAGGTTACAAAGCAACCAAGATGGCGGACGCGTTGAGGCTGCAAATGAATATTCGACAAAATGCAGAAGAGTTGCAAGACATTCTGCAAGATTTAAACAAGTGGGAGGACGAAATGAAGACCAANGCGGACGCGTTGAGGCTGCAAATGAATATTCGACAAAATGCAGAAGAGTTGCAAGACATTCTGCAAGATTTAAACAAGTGGGAGGACGAAATGAAGACCAAGGATAATGAACTCCTCAACTCAAAGATAGTTCACAAACAGGTTTGGGTTTAACTTGTTGACTTCACATTTTTCCGTTTTTTTTTTCAACTGACTCAGGGCTCGAAATTCTATGCACCGAACTTTAAGCTTAAATTATTTAAGCTTAAAGTTTGTTGCATAGACGCAACTTGTCGCTAGATTTTGCCCCAGACTTCATCCTCTTAATTTCGAGCTCCGTGGTTTAGGAATCGGTAAATTTTTTGGAAGCTTACATGTACATGAATAGGTTTGAGGTGCCAGTATTCTTTGGAACGTTCGATTTTTCATCCGCACCCCCCCTCTTAGGATGACTGGAATCCGAACCGACAACCATCCAGATTTTTGCTGGCACCCTTTGAAAAAGGAAATCCGAAGGGTTTATTTTTTCTCAGCACCTTTGAAAAATTTGTCTGAAGGGTCCAAATTTTGTGGGCTTCTGTGAAGAAAAAATCCGAACCACCTTATTCCAAATTTAAAACCCGCCATCCTAAGGGGGGTGCGGACAAAAAGTAGAACATCTATACTGTGCTGTGTATGGTATGTTAAAGATGTTAGTGGCTGTAAAATACAAGCTGCACATGTAATTACACATTCCCTTGGCAGTTTCAATGTCATTGGGAGTCACAATGGTGTTAGTAGTATTTATTAGGATTTGTGGAATCATTTTGAACTGTCTAAGGAGATGTCTGTTGTACAGGGGTGTTTGTCAGGTTGAGAGCAGGTTTCTTTGATAGTTATTTATGCAGTACCATTCAAATGACAGCCTCGACCTGGTCCTTTAAACAAATTAAATTTTCTGCTTCAGAGCCTTCCTCCTATCAGGAATCAATCTAACAGGAAGAAGAAGAAGAAGAAGGAGCAGCCATCAGCTTCTAATAAGGATAATGTGTCAAAGGGCGAAGCACGAATAAGTTCATATGACTACAGATCATGGGATAAGTTTGATGTGGTAAGTTTCTGGTATCTGATGCACAGCATGTTGTATAATTTAGAATCACATGGGAATTCAATATTCATATCATCGAAGACAGATTGGTCTTTAGGCCAGCCCAACATCACTACTGATATTTTTTTGCATTTTCACCATAGACCTTTTCGTCTAACTCATTGTTGTGCTCAATTCAAATTTCCTGAGGTTAAGATTCTTTGTGCATTGTATTTGCATTATAGTGTGGCATTCACATTTAAATGATATGGAAATTCCTGAAACAAAAAAATGTTTTATTTCCAAAGGGTTTGAACTGGGTACAACATTGACTTAGCCAAATAGCTCTATTATATCTGGATGCCTGATGTTCTTTGTTAAAACATTTTCTTTAATTTTCAGGATAAGGTTTTAAAGGAAATGGATGAACAGGAGGAGATAAAGACATTTTCAAGCTCTGAGGAGGAAAGTGATGAGGCAGATGAAGACATTGAAAATGAGAGACGATTGCAAAAGGCACTTTTTGAAAAGGACAAGGTTTGGATTGTTTCAGTTAATTATTGACTAAACTTACAAGTTGATGAAAATAGTGTCTTTTACTGTAACTTAAGAGCCATGTTTTTGCTTTTGTTTTTAACATTATCCTTTTATTCTAGACCCAAAAATTGTGTGACAGCAGACAGCAGAATTACATGTTGTATTAGAAGAATTTTTCAATTTCATAATACCGTCTTTATTTGAGGAGGTGCCCTGGGCGCTTATTGAACTTTTGGGCCTTGAGAGTGGGCACTTATTTGAGGTTGGGTGCTTTATCGAATAAATATGGTATCCACTTTTTGAAGATGGTAACCACACTTAAATCTCTCTAAGACAGACACCTTTGGGGGGGTGCTAAGTGTCCATCTTAGAGAGATGTCTGTCTTATAGAGTCTGAATAATAAAGTTCGTAAAGAAAGGCAGGGACCAGCTCGAGGTGTCCATTTTACATAGGTGTCCATCTTACACAATGTATAGAGGTGTTGAGAGAGTGTGATAGAGAGTTGGCTGTTAATGTTTTAACATGTTCTGTAGGGAAATGCTCTTTTCAAAGAAGGCAAGTATGAAGAGGCTATTAACTGTTACACCACAGGAATTCAACTTGACCCAACTAATGCTGTACTGCCTGCCAACAGAGCTATGTGTCTGCTGAAATTGCAGAGGTTTGTTGTGATTTTCCTGTATTTTTTACTCGTATTAAGGAGCCCAGGAGGTTGGTCTCTTAGCTGAGTTCATTATAGCTCTGGTACATCTAATCCAGAGGTTGTGAGTTTAATCGTTGCTGGGGTAAAAACATTTCTCCTATTCTTGGGATGTTTACCATTGAAACAATCCTCCCTGGCTGAAATCTTGTGCATAAACATAAAACTATAAAATTTTACATGGTGGAAGAACAACCGCTGCAAAGTTTGTCCAAATCAACTGAACATACTGAAAAGAGTAGAAAAATTGCATCGCCCCAAACCAAAGCTCAACCAAAGCTTCTGAAATGGACTGGCACAAATTGCACTGGTTTTCCCATGTAAAAGTTAAGAACCCCTGGTCTATCTCACTTCCCTTCCTAGAGCTTGCACTTCCAGCTCTCCCATTATAACACAATACACATTCAATTTTCTTTACTTACTGTAGATACGGAGCAGCAGAAGCTGATTGCACGCAAGCCTTGTCTCTGGACAGTTCCTATACTAAAGCTTACTTGAGAAGGGGTGCAGCCCGCTTTCAAATGGGACGAGTTGAACAGGCCGAGGCTGACTACAGAGAGGCACTTAAACTGGAGCCAAGTAATAAACAGGCCCAGGCGGAGCTGAAGAGCATAAAGAAGGTAAGCATCTAACTTGCACCCAAAGTACCTGAACAGACAAAACACTATGGTGCAGTTACCCCTTGTAAGAGACCATCTTCTAGACTATAAGCTATGCTGGCTAACCTATCGGAAACAACAAAATGTTCCCAGTCAAAGATCATAGCCGGAGCCTCTCGTAACAACCTTCTATTGTAAGCAACGGCATCCACTTTTTGATATACAGTTTTAAAATTTTCCTCTGTCTTGAACACCCTTTTAGCACCTTAAATGGTAACCTGTAAACAGTGAATTTTTATGCAGGGTGCAAAGAAAGTCAGTTTTACAGCCTGCCATTTGGGCAAGCTGTAGCTAGCGTGTACTAGCCCACAAGTCATTTCAACTAGCCCAATAGCAAAATTCACTAGCCCCGCGCTATCAGACACGACTTTCTTTGCACGCTGTTATGTATGCATGTTAGCGACCAATTGACGCTGGGTCCGGACTTCTCTCTATATTTCCTATACATGTACATGTTCATGTTTGCTGAATGTGCTACATAACTTGGAGTACTGTACTTGAAGGATCAGATAAAAGTTCTTAGAAATTGTATGCATTGATTTCTGTAAAAGTGCTCTGCCCTCTTCTTGAAAGAGAACTCAGTGGTTCGAGTCTCCTAGTTGATTTTTCTTGCTACATTATCATTGCTCTACAAAACAGAGTGGTCTTACTAAACTAAACGTAGTTTTATGAGGAGAAATTCAAGTGTTTATTTGTTTGTGTTTAGTTGTTGGAGGACAAGAAGAGGGAAAAGCAAAGTGAAAAGCAAGAAAGTGAAAATTTTGCAAACAAAACACCAGTCAAGTCTAAAGTAAGCCTGTTTTCTTGATGTTCTTTTTTTAATGGATAATAATTTATTACACTACTTTAAAAATTGCAAATAATTGATTAAGATGTGCAAAGGAAGTTGACGTTGACGCTTAATGAGGGTTTTAAAATCCTATAAAAATAGTTGAGCTTTATTCACCTGTACATGTAGCTCTTCAAGTTCTTAGTCAAAATCTTAATGGTGTTCCCCAAAGCCTACATTGATGGACAATGAACAGACTGCCAACTTTACTTATAAAATTCTTGTTTTACCACTTTCCCCTCGTGTCTTAAACGTAATACCGTAAACTGCCGCTTATATTTCAAGCCTGCTGTTTCAAAGCGAGGCTAATGCGACGCCATTAATACGAAAGTGATTTTCTTTTATTCTCATGCAAATAAAAATGACCTATTCGTTCCAAATCAGTCCCACAATGCAGTTCAAGGCAATACCGCCCCTGTCTAACACATGTACACACAGACCTTGTTTTGTGGATTTGGTTTGATAGTTTTATTTTTTGTATCTTAGAAACCGCTTAAGAGAATTGTCATCGAAGAAATTGGCACGGAGAGCGAAAGTGAGGATGACTCTTCTGACATTTCTACTAAAGCACAAGCGACAGCGTCCTTGTCTACCGAAGAAACGAGATCAAACACTCAGCAAGCACTGTTGGCGAGACCTGACGAAAGGGCCAAAAACTTAACCTCAGAATCAACGGACGTTCCCCCCAAAACAGCGCCATCTTCGGTATCGTCGACTTTATCATCGTCATCATCAGCGTCAGCGTCATCATCTCAGCCCCAGTCCCTCTCATCAACTTCTCGATCCCAGTCCACTGATAAGACATTTGCCGTGCCAAAGTCGTCGGGACAGTTTCAAGCAGATTGGAGAGCACTTCAAAAACAACCGGCCAGGCTTTTTGCTTACTTCAAGGTTGGCTTAATTTAAAACCATTTTAAACGCTGTAATTTCAGCTAATTCAAAAAACCTTCCACATCGAATTAGAATTTGAAATGTTCTTTGTAAGTAGAAGGAAGAAAAGGAGAACCTGGAGAGAAAAAACTCTCGAAGGGACGGAGAGACCTAACAACAGTGACGTCGAGACTTGGACTCGGACCCAGGTCACATTGGTCAGATGGGGTACGGGATTGCCCTCATCCCTTACCAGCCACCCCCCCCCCCC